TCAATCCGGTTCAAGTCTGGGCTCTGGCTGAGGCACTCAAGGACATTCAAAGACTTGTCCCGAAGCCACTCCTTTGTTATCGTGGCTGTGTGCTTAGGGTCGTTGTCCTGTTGAAAGGTGAACCTTCTCCCCAGTCTGAGGTCCAGAGCGCTCTGGAGCAGGTTTTCATCAAGGATCTCTCTGTACATTGCTGCATTCATCTTTCCCTGGATCCTGACTAGTCTCCAAGTTCCTGCTGCTGAAAACCATCCCCACAGCATGAAGCTGCCACCACCATGCTTCACTGTAGGGATGGTGTTGGCCAGGTCTGGTTTCCTTCAGACATGATGCTTGGCATTCAGGCAGAGGTGATCAATGTTGGTTTCATCAGACCAGACAATTTGTTTTTCTCATGGTCTGAGAGTCCTCTAGGTGCTCCATGTGGGCTTTCATGTGCCTTTTGCTGAGGAGTGGCTTCCTTCTGGCCACTCTACCATAAAGGCCTGATTGGTGGAGTGCTGCACAGATGGTTGTCCTTCTAGAAGGTTCTCCCATCTCCACAGAGGAACACTGGAGCACTGTCAGAGTGACCATCGAGTTCTTGGTCACCTCTCTGACTAACAGCCCGTCTACACTACAGGCATCAAAAAATGCTTTCAACGCTTCGCCCATTCACTTGAATGCGGTGACGTAGAAGATTTTTAATCTTCGCCGAACTGCATTGTGGGGAGCATGGCATGGCTTTGCAAACATCACGAGCATCTATCGGCATCAAGGCTCGATGCTTAGCATCAGCCAATCAAATCCCGTTTATGCAAATCCCGCCAGTGCAAGCGCAGCCAATCAAACCGCGTGCAAGCTGGGAGAGCCAGACCGCAGTTCATTTCCTCATATTCCAAACGAGATATTACGGTAGCAAATCACCCGGTTCTTTACGACCAGAACTATTTACCGGGATACAAACCGGAGGAACCAGGCATGGAGGGAGGTGGCAGAGACAGTGGGTGAAACTGGTAGGTTTTTCGCCTGTTTGGGGAGTTTATATCCAGTTTACTTCGTTTTAACATTGCTATTGCTTTGTATGTCGGGGGCGGGAGATTCATGTGATTGGTTGTTGGTCGCGTTGCTCGCAACAAATCGCCAAGCTTCAGACACGCCCAGCTTCAAGATTTTTTGATGCCTGTAGTGTAGACGAGCCGTAAGGCCCTTCTCCCCCGATGCTCACTTTGGTTTGGGCAGCAAGCTCTAGGAAGAGCCGTGGAGGTTTCAAACATCTTCATGCAAATGATGGAGACCACTGCGCTCGTTGGGACCTTCAATGCTGCAGACATTTTTTTTGTACCCTTCCCCAGATCTGTGCCTTGATACAATCCTGTCTCTGAGGTCTACAGTCAATTCCTTGGACCTCATTACATGGGTTTGTGCTCTGATATGCACTGTCAACTGTGGGACCTCATATTGTTCCTCTCCAAGTCATGTCCAATCTATTTAATTTACCACAGGTGGACTCCAGTCAAGTTATAGAAACATTTCAAGGATGATCAGTGGAAACGGGATGCACTCGAGCTCAATTTTCAGTGTCATAGCAAAGGGTGTGAAATGAATACTTATGTACATAAAAACGTTTTCACTTTGTCATTATGGGGTATCATGTGTGGAATATTGAGAAACAAAATGAATTTAATCCATTTTGAAATAAGGCTGTAACATAACAACACGTGAAAAAAGTTAAGGGGTATGAATACCTTTCACTCTAAATAAAGTTTAATTTAAATACAAAATAATGTTTTCTGCCTGCGTGGTTGTTTTTTATGTCCATACTTACTGACAGGCGGGGTGATTTCTGGAGAAGTGGCATAAGGGTCTATGGCTTTCTGTTTGAGCACCTCTCTGCACTCTCTTAACCTCTTGATTGTATCTCTGAGCGTGTCATCGGTGTAGCGGAAGTAGACGACGGGGGGAGGAGGAGGAGGGGAGGCCTCTTCACTGGGAGGGGGCAAGAGCAGAAAGAAAGGTGAATTAAAGAATAGAAAAGGTGACATTTAATCAGAGAGGAGGGGGCAGAATGCTTCCCCTGAGCATTGAGTCAGAAATGAAACTCATTTCCTAATCTGCTTTCCTACTTGTCCTGCTTTAGGAGCTGCAGTGTGATGATGGCTGCTGTCACTTTCCCCTCTGCTTAATGTGAGGAAACACCAAACAATGGACCATGCAACCTCTCAGGAAAAAACTGCCATTTGCACATGTAGGAGAGTAAACAAATAAATACATCTAGATTTTGATGACTGATTCTTGCAACAGTTATGATTTACAGTTGTATGATAATGCATTGTAACATATATATTCTTGTTAGCAGTCACAGCTCCTATTGTGTACAGAACGTGTTGAAGCTGATACTCTGATACCTGGAAACCTAATCTAGGCAAGTGGAGTTCCTGAAATAGACTACTAATAGCTATTAACCATTTAGTAGCTATTAGCAACCCCCCACTTTAAATGTTCTTTTAGTCTTTATTATTTACCTAAACTTTATATTGTTTATTATATAGGTCTTTTAATCTTTTTCTTTCTGTTGTACCACTACCTACAGTGGGGAAAAAAGTATTTAGTCTGCCACCAATTGTGTAAGTTCTCCCACTTAAAAAGATGAGAGAGGCCTGTAATTTTCATCCTAGGTATACCTCAACTATGAGAGACAGAATGAGAAGAAAAAAAAAATCCAGAAAATCACATTGTCTGATTTTTAAAGAATTTATTTGCAAATTATGGTGGAAAATAAGTATTTGGTCAATAACAAAAGTTAATCTCAATACTTTGTTATATACCCTTTGTTGGCAATGACAGAGGTCAAACGTTTTCTGTAAGTCTTCACAAGGTTAGGGTATATAACAAAGTATTGAGATTAACTTTTGTTATTGACCAAATACTNTATCAACAGTCCTGCCAGTAACGTTACTATATTATCAATGCTACGTTAGTTATAGCCTGATATATGATAGCTAACTTCACAATGTTGTGATGTGACGTTAGCTAACATTCTGTAGCTAACGCCTGTCACTCACCAAGATAGCTGCCCAGTTCTCCACTGGTTCTCCTCACACCACAGCTCCATTTCTCTCCGATGGCCGTTATTTCTTCTAATCCTTGGCTGCTCCTGGTCTCTTGGACGCCTAGCAGGCTCATAATTATAAGGTTGTGGTCCGTCATATGCATTCGAATATTCATGTTTAACTTCTTCTGTGTCTTCTGTGTCGAAACTAGCATTTGGATCCATGTTTATTAATACGTTACACCGGCCGCTCTCCCCCTTGTGTCCCCCGTGTTACGTCACACGCGGGAGGTCACGTGCCGAGGCTTTTTTATGCGGAAGTGAACATTTCTTACAAAAACGACGCCAGATGTCACTGTAGTGTATATTTCTGTATATTTTTGGGAAAATCTAGTGTATTCATCATTTTCCTACACATTTATTCACAGGTGTCTTTTAACCTGGAAGTTGCTCTTTAAGAACATGTCGGCCAGGGGTGTAGAGCTATTTGTTTAAGCACCGGATTGGCAAAACAGGAGAGTCTGTAAACCAGTCTGCCTTGATCTATGAATTCATGTCCGGAACTCTCACAGTATCTGCTGCCCGCAGCTGTTTTAAAGAAGGAAAACCTCCTTCACTTCATGAAATGGCTGCAGCATCAGGAAGCAGCGGGACGTGTAACTCCGCCTGTGAGAAGAGGAGCACCAGCGCGCCGAGAGCTGTGCCTTTTTACGCACCGCCTTCACTGTGTTTACCTTCTTCAGAACAGCTTAAGAGTGACTGCAGGCTGCTACGTGTTAACCACACACACCTCTACACACACACACACACACACACACACACACACACACACACACACACACACACACACACACACACACACACACACACACACACACACACACACACACACACACACACACACTGAATAACGTCATTTATTTTGGTTTTCCGTTTTTCCGGGAAACAACGGTTCTTTTTCTTTTTTCAAACGTTGTTAATATGTTTTGGATGCATATTGTTCTATTATTTGTTCAGGCTGTTACATACAATTAGTCTCTGTTGCTACCTGCTGGTGAGTAAATATTAAAATCAGTTAAAATTGACAACCGGTTCGCGATTTTTTTTAAATGTATCTGCCGGTCCTTGGCACAATAAAGGTTGGGAACCCCTGATCTAGATGATAATAGAGTCAAATCCACAGACAAAGAATACAGTCCGGGAAATTTCATCCTTAAAATGTTGTTCTTTCTCAGTCTGTTGCAGTCTTCCAAAGATGGAGGGAACAGGCGGACAGCTAATGTCAAAGCGTATGGTTTTGCTAACCTCTTCGTCCTGGAGAAGAAAGACCTGTTTGACATCCTGGTCCACTACCCAGAGTCTCAGAAAGTGTTGGCCAGGAAGGGAAAGTAAGTCAGACACTCAGCACACACCACTACTACAACATCTTACTCTTTCCCAGAGCCACTGCACACATTCCTGCAATGATGTTTTTAAATGATAAACCAATAACACGTTTGCTCAAGTACAGAGCTATTGCTGAAAGAAATGTTATCACCAAATGTTGATATTAGCTGTATATAATCCTAGTATGAAAAGTGTATACTAGGCAGCTCACATTTCAGCAACAAAGACCTTTTTCCTTTCCCTTAAACATTTGATCTCTCTTTAGAACCATTACATTGCAGCAAACTTAGGCATCGGACTTAGAAATACTGAATTTGTTACCCGAGTAGCAGCTGCTTTGTAGCTAGCACCAGAGCACTTTGTTCAGCCAGCTTCTCCGTGTCTGTGTGTAGGAAACTGATGAAGGCGAAGGGTCCCGCAGCAGCTAAAGCAGATGACGACAAGAAGAAGGGGCTCGCACTGTTCGGACTCAAACCCCCCACACCCAAACTGCTGCGAGCCTTCGGCGGAAAGAACATGCTTGAAAGAATGAAGGTAACAGCACTTACACTTCTCTCTATATGTGCTCATTAAAACTTAATTGCAGTAATGCTGACATATGTTTTGTATTCGTCCCCCCCCCCCACCCCACCCCACCAGGCTGTTTCTGCAAACCAATAAGGATTGTTGAGAGCTTTTTATTTACAACTCCTTTTTGGGAGTGAATGTACAGTTTACTTTTGTACTGAATGTGTATTTTGTGTCATTTTAAGATATGTTTTTTTTTTTATTACAAACATTTGGTTTGATATGCTCAGACAACTCAACAGAACCTCCCTATCTAAGACAACAAGACATAGAACAATGTTACCAAAATATTTGATGAGATGTGCAATATCTGTGTGTGAAAACTACCGCCCTTAGTGGATACTGCTTGTTGTATATTTATATATTTATCCACCTTGATTTGTTTGTCTGCTTTTCTCTGCTATATTATTTTGAGCTTGCCAATGCACAGTCATTGTAAAAGCCTTACAGAGATGATCAAAACAATTTGTTCAATAATGTTCACAACACAATATTTAATTGATTGGATCTGTCAATATCTGCTTAAATGAATAAATACTGACTTCATTTCAGTTGTTAACAAAATAATGTGCTGTTTGTTTGCTTGTGTGTATCTGTGTGTTAACTGTGTGTGTGTACAGTAGAAGTTAGAGTTCGGACAGAGAGAGATAAAGATAATCCTGTTAGCCAGAGAGAGACATGGTGAGAGTTAATTCACTAAATGCTGTCTGAGTTTCTGAACTCTGTTTACAGAGTGGTCAGAAATAACCTCAGCAGTCTAATTGTAAACCAGACACTTGTGAGTTACTACCAATGAATCCATGTATTATCCCATTATGAAATATATTGTAAAATGAACTCGGTTCTATGTGAAATGCAGAGTCCAATTTGAGTTGTTTTTATTTATAAAGAAAAAAAGGTAATGGCACATTTAGTAAGCAGTTTGTTCTTACCAAAAAGTGTCCGATCTGGCTTTCTCCAACAAAGACAACTCCTTTGGATGGTCTCTGCACTCGAGGCTCTGCAACAACACCGTTGGGCTGTTCGACTCTAAGAAAGGGTTACCATGCTAAATGGAGTAGCACTCAGCTTTTAGAGTCACTGACAGTCTGGTAGTGAGGAGGCGGTGATGGCTGACTCTGCGTTGACCCCTGGAAAAAGGGGAGTGACCTGAGGGAATTAATGCCTCTAAGAAATTCAATTGCCTCAGTCTGTTTTTGGATGTAAGACGAAGACTGCACAGCATCCTGAGAGTTTTCAGAGGAATCGGAAATCAAATAGAAATCGCCTTCAGGAGCAGTGGATGGGCTGGTGGCTGTAGCCCACTCCGAGACCCCGCATGTTCAGGAGGTTGAAGAGCCTGATCGGGGCTCCTGAGCCACCCCCTGCCCAAGATCCGACCCCACCATCATCCCCAGCTCCAGCAGCTAAGGTAAGGCCTTTTTCCTAATCTTCAATATAAATTCAGAACTGACATATTTTAGTTTAATTAGGACATTAAACGTTACCTACCTGCTTGTTTATCCGATTTCCTAGAATGCTTCTCAGATCAGTGAAAGCCTCTGAAGCAGCTTGGCACTGATAAACAGCATGGGTGGATTTACTGTTGCTTTCTCAGTAGGATGCTGGCAAGGCTATATGTGATCCTGAATCTGAGGAAGGGGATAGTAGTACTGAGGAATAATTAACGTTATGTGTGCACAGCCTTATCATTAGGAAATGAGTCCTATTTGTCTCAAGACAATTTCCCACATTTTTCTGCAGTTACTAGCATTGTTTCTTTTCAGGAAGAAAAGCCGCCTGAAAAGAGGGATGAGAAAGAGGAGCCAAAACAAGACGAGGAGAAGAAAGAGGAAGAAAAGAAAGAAGAAGAGAAGAAAGGGGAGGAGAAAAGGGAAGAAGAGCCAAAACCAGGTGAGCTATGATTTTAATTTAGAGCACAACACAACCATGTACAGACCGGTAGTCTAGGTCAGGGGTTCCCAACCTTTTTTCTCAAGAGCCCCCCCAAATGACTCCTGTTGGAAATGTTTTATATTATATATAGAATTATATATTTCTGTCTTTGTATGCCTTTATTAGCTACTAACTTGAATCTTTATTCAAATTAATTAATCAATTATTTTTTATATTTTATTGTAATGTAGAGACAAGGCTCTTAGCGACAATCATGTATTGCGTTACAATTATATGTAAAAAAAAAATAAAGCAAAAAAAACAAAAACAGTCTAAATATGATATTTGGCCTCAAATCATCTGAAGCCCCCAGGTTGGGAACCACTGGTCTAGGTGATTACTGTTACATACACACTGTAAATATTGCAGTTGATTGATAGATGTTAGAATAGTAGTAACATGTCTCACTTAGTTGTTTTGAAATAATAACAATATCCTCCTGCAGACTGCAGTATGAACTTTAAAGCAGCTACTTTTTGCCATCTTCCTCATGCACTTGCAATTGATGATGAATTGCACTTTTCTGTTATCAGAAAATTGGGGTTTTCCTGACCTTTGTGCTGACCCCCACCATAGACCCATTGGCCCATTGGTCTTGGATTGACCAGACTAATACATTTCTAATGTTAAATAAATGAAAACCATTCACAGTCAAGAATTAGATATGAATTATTAATGCTGTAAATTACATTTAATATGTCTAACTATATATTTAAAATGTGTTACCTTTTTATAGAAGTGATTATATTTGTATGTCAATATTTTTCTATGGTAAAGTTTCGTTTTGCACTTTTATTTTGGTAGTAATAAGATCGGGACTCTTATTTTGAAGGAACTTTTACCGGAAGTGAATGCACAACGGAGCAGAATGTACATATATATTTCGCCTCCCAAGACTTTACACATTTCCTCTTTGCTTTTTGTTCGGGTTCATCTTGCGCTTTATCAGTTGAATCACTTTGAACATTCGTTTGAGATGTTGACGGGTTGGCCGAACTTTTTACCCCACAGTCAAACAACTTCATTTGCTTCGGCTCGCCATTTTTTGTAAAACAAACACACGGCGCACCGCGCACGCGAGTAAACGTGCATCGCTTTCTGGCTCAGTAATCACACCAATGCACGTGCAACTTAAGTATCAGGTTCCGACTGGTCACAACAATAATTAAATATCACTCTTAATACAACAAATAATGAACATTTATCTATTTTGGGGTGCACATTTAGCTGTTTGCTCTCCTTATTTCTTTATGTTAAAAACTGGTTGCCACTGATGGCAACCAAAGGCCAAGAAGTGGTTGACCTTTTTTCTGAATGGTTGCCAATGGCAACCTGGCAACCGTTACTGTCGAGCCCTGACTAATGTGAGCCTCGGAAAACAAAGCAGAAGTTAAACATCCCAGTTGAACAGGTCAGAGCACATACTTTGTGGGATTACCTATCACCAGGTTGTGGTTTAACCTTGAACCCAGTGTCTAGACTAAAGTGACGAGGGTCCTGATAACAGCCAAGTCCTTTTCTGTTGGGCCATCTCCCTGACATGGCAATGCCCACCTTTCCTTCCCAATTAATCCTGCCCACACCCAATGACTTTACATGTCACTTGTTAGACCCTTTTATCCAAAGCGACATACATTCAATACTGTAGGCAGTCCCCACAGGACATGCTGACAGAGCGGGATTTGAACCAGCCCCCCTGATCCAAAGATCAGCGCACTAATGCAGTGAGCCACAGTTCAGGACACCAAAAACAAATTTCATATCTTCCTTAATCTCTCAAATGTTCCTTGAAGTGTTTGTATGTTAATGTGCAGGGGCCAACAGAAGAATCAGAAACAGGAAGAACTGCGAGCAGAAAAACAGGTTAGCCTGTCTGGCTCTATTTCTGCAGCACACAGTAGAAAAAGAGTCAGGGCTTTAAAAAACAAAAGGTCTACAGGACACCACAAAACGACCAACATGGCGATGATTTGGCCTAACAGATGGAGAAGTCTAAAATATGAAGCTTGTCGTGTTGGAAGTGCCAGAGAAAAGGTCATGTTCATGATATCAAAGGTTTTATCCCCTTCAGAGCATTAATATGCTCGACTAATTTAAAGGCAATGTGCCTTTTAGATCATAAGCTTTGATGTTCAAAGTAATGTTAAACATAAAAAAAAAAGTAATTCTCAGTGGAATATGAATATGTTCAGTAATTTATCGCAAGCTGCCCATTAGATTCTGATATATACTAAGTACATGGAGTTAATATGACCCAATGGTGGGATTAAAGGTCAGGGGTCACCACAAACAGCAGAAATGATCCTCTGGGAACCATACATTCAGTTGTTCTAGGATAGTCTAGCCTTTTATTTATAACCAGCTTACTGTGAAAGGCACATAGCCTGACATCACGCTGGTGTTAGCTGTAGTGATCGACTTCTTTCCAACAACATTTTCCTGTGCAACATTTAGAATCTATAGTAATGTTACTGTGCTTCCAGATCTCAACAACTATCGTACCAGGAACAATCTTGTCATAACCAATATAAATATAAAGACAGTTGTATAGCTCTACTAACTAGTCAGGTTCACATTCATGTCTGTCCAAAACCTGAATTAGTCAAAGATATCAGAAAAAAAGAAAGCATCATCAATGACTTTTACAATGCTGTATCATAGTAGTTTCTGTATTTAAAAACACTGAGCTTACATTTTGACTCAACAGAAGCAGTTTCTAAATTAATACGTTTTTTGCTTTGAGGCCTCTCCAGGTTATTTCTTGGGAATCAACACCTGGATAAAGAATTATACAGAGACTCAGAATAGATATGGAAGAGATTGCTATGAATGGAAGTCAAACCTTTGTTTTTTGTTGTTGGTATAACTGAATTTCTAAGCAGTGGTGTGAAATAAACACGTTAACTGACTAACGTTTTTTAAATGTACTGAAATGTTCTTCCCTACCTATACCTCTGGATTCATTAAAACACACTAAAACAATAAAAAGAAGTCTAAAAAAGGTGGGAACCAAATTTCCCTCTAGCATGAAACCTTTAGGTGAATAACTGATGCCAGCATCTAAAAGTTAACCTGCCAATGAGTTCAGGAGGAACACTACTGACCACATGTCCTACTTGTTGCTGTGTTAACACAGCAGAGGCTGATCGAAATGTTAGTAGTTATTACGTAAATATTCACTCATAAACTAAGGTTTTGCTGGGGCACCGACTGACCAACACTGTCCTGATCACCTCCACCCAGAGAACCGAAGGAACAAGCATACTGTACTAAAACTGAGAGTTTCACAAATGAGACCAGTCTTTAAAAAACTAAATAAAAGCAGCAGCACTACCACAAACAAATCCACAATCTTTCCCCCAGCATGCATCCCATCTGAGCAGCTGAGAAAAGCTATTATAGTCACACACAAATAAGTCTTACCTGGTGAGGAGGTGTGAGGAGTCGAAGAGCAGGTGGACATAGTGAAAAAAGAC